TTGGTCCACTGTGATGGTCCCCGCATCTCATAGCTAGCACGTGGTCTCAAACTCAAAAACTAAATGCACTGCCATTGATCTAATTCCGACTCATAGTAACCAAGTAGAAGTGCCCCTGTGGAATTCTAAGGCTGTAAGTTTTCCAGGGCTAGAAAGCCTCCTCTTGCTCCTGAGAAGAGGCTGGTGGTTTTGAACTGCTGACCTTGCTCTTAGCCACCCAAGATGTAACCCACTACGTCACCAGAGCTCAGTGGTCAGTAATCGGTACATATTTGTTGAATTAATGCATGTCTGCTTTCAACTTGATCTGGAAAAGATTTCATATTTCTTTATAGACCCAGGATCTGGCATTAGGGTCCTCGAGGAGTATGTGCTAACCGTGCTAGTTACACGCAGGAAGAGGTCTCACTGTGACTGCCAACCCCTGCTTCCCCTCGAGCACACCAAGACACCATGAGGTGAGCCCTGCTGAGCCATCACGGAAGTCATGAACTGAAATCAACATGCAACTTACTACATGCACAGTAATTAATTGGAGGATCTTGGGAAAAGTAGCCCAGGCTAGAATTCTCCCTGAAAATCCTATTATAATACCTAAAAAAACAAATCTGCCAATAGAGCTCCTAACTTCAGCAGCATCTGAATATATGTAAAGTGTACTGAGTCGTCCTGGTGGCATAGCAGGTTATGTGTTGGGCTACTAACCATGCAGTTAGCAGTTCAAAATTGCCAGTCTCTCCTGCGGAAAGATGAGGCTTTCTACTCCCGTAAAGAGTTACAGTCTCAGAAACTCTCAGGGCTGGTTCGACCTTGCCCTCTAAGGCCACCATGAGTCAGAACTGACTTGATGGCAGCGAATTCCATTTGGGGTTTATGTCTCAAGAATGTGGATCAGCATGATCATTGGAGGGCAGGGCCCCTGGCTAGATGGGAGAGGGAGACGGGCCGGCCGGCCTTATGTACTGCTTCAGTGAGGGCAGAGAGGAGGCCTGGGGCATAGGGCCCATGGGGTGGACCAGCTCAAACTCAGGCAAGGGGAAAGCAAGTATCAGCACAGAAACCGCCAGTCCAGGTCAGACACGCCTGATACTGATTCAAGAGGTGTTGAACAGTGTACCCAGAATCAGAGCTGTCCTTCGCTCTGGCTTGCACAGCAAGCAGAGGCCACGTCTAAGGAGGAGAACCGGTTTGGAAAACAAACAAAAAAATCCAACACCTTTCAAGCCTACGGGAACAAAAGAAAAACTAACTCACTGCCATGGGGTCAGTGCCCACTCAGAGCGAAGATCCCCAACCACCCACCTCCCTGCCACCACCCCCTTGGGTTTCCAAGACTGTAAGTGTTCATGGGAGTAGACAGCCCCATCTTTCTCCCACAGAGTGGCTGGTAGTTTCAAACTGCCGACTTTTCGGATCACAGCTCAATGTATCACCACTCCACCACCAGGGCTCCCAAAGGGAAGGATGGGCTAAAAGGTAAAAGGCAAGGCTGAACATGAGTGAGGGCCATGGCAGAGGCACAGTGTTACAGCCAGGCTAGAACAGGACATTCTGTGGCCCAGAAGCCCTTCCCACCACGGCCTAAGTGAGGTTCCGCCAGCCAGGGAGCCTGGGGTGCCAGGACAGCAGAAGCGCTCAGAGAGAGGAGCTAGCTCGGTGGTACAGACAGGGCCCAGGGGCCGTGGGGAACCAGACATGCAGACGAATACTGCTGCCTTCACCCACAGCCAACACTGGGCTCATCTCTGAAATGACCTGACGGGAGCCCGGGGCGGCTTTCCAGATGACCTAGTGTCTAGAATGCGACCTTGGCCTGGGAGGAACGCGATGTGAAGTGTTCTTTACCCAGTGCCAGGCTGGATTAAGTCATTTTATCACCAGAAAGCTGCCTTTCAAAACTGAAGTGTCCTTACTGGGTGAGAAGAGCACGAGACAAGAAACAGTGATCTATGGACATCGAACACACCGGCCGGCCGGAGACCCATCACCTCAGCAGATTCTGAGGAAATCAACAGAATCAAACAGTTGACAGCACCCAGTTGCCTTGTGCTTTTCTTGCAAGTGTTTTGGGATTTGCTTGGGAGGGGCAGGGAGTGTTAGCAGAGTAGCAAGTTTCAAGATACAACTTGATTCCTCAGGGGGGGGAGGCAGGGGGGGGGGCGTGCAGAGGATGACATCCAGAAATAAGCAGCTCGCACTGACTACCACACCAAGAACCTCTGAGCAGACCCAAACAAGTAAAGCTTTGTCATAAAATAAGCTCGGTTCATTCTTAGACAAGGGTTTCTTCTCATCCGTCTCAATTCCTCATCAGAACAGATGACCAAGCCCAAACAAATTCATTAATTACCACCCAAGAGAGTAACCTATAAGAAGAGCTTAGTGTATAACTTATACATAGGTACATATATAAAAGGACCACACTTTCCTCAAAACTCAAAGATGCCTTCACAGGATGGTTCAAGAGCGCTTTGTAGCACTTGCCCAAGTAAGACAGAGGCTGAGGACCAGAGGGGCAGAGAGGCAGTGAAAAGTGCACCTGTGGGCACGGCTGAGAAGCACCATTCCTAACTGAAGAGCTGTAGCCTAAAGCATTCTTGATCCTGAAACGCAACCAGTTACTTCCCTAGAAAACCCCCGCAATCACGAGTACTGTCTGTCAGTTCTGTGAAGCCCCTGTAAGGAATGATCAAACAAAGCAAGGAAGTGCCGAGGGCCGTGGGATGGGGTGGTTGGCGTCAGAATTAATAGCGAAGTTGCAGGCTGAAGGCACAGTTACCTTTGTCTCATATGATCAGTTTGTGATCATAATTCTCCCTCCCCTTGTGGAGGGAGAGGGGGGCAGATGCTACCCCATGCCATTCATGCACGGAGATACTCAGCAAGCGATAAAAAGGGGTCGGGGGTCATCATCTGTTCAGCAGCCAGCGGCTTCTCCCACTTGACAGCTTCCAGGACATTCACAAAGCTCGAGGGAAACATTCTTTTTCTACACAGACATGCTCAATTCTTCTCCACTGAATTTTCTACTCGTTCTACTCCGCTGGCTTAAAACAAACAGAAGAAAAACTGTGTTCCCTCAACTGCTCTGTGCCTTGCACATTTTAGTAAAGACCGCTTAATTTCTGGTTCTCAAAAAAAATCTGAAGAACTAACACTGAGGGTGCCACCCCTCGTTGAAGGTGTTACAAAGGAACGAGCATTTCAGAGTGGGCAGCAGTACTGTTTAAATTGCTTAAGAAGGATAAAATCAAGTAAAGTATTTTGAAGGAAAACTTGTTCGCCTTGCCTGTTGTGTTGTTTCCAATGATGTGCTGCCAGGAGGCAGCATCTAAGTCAAATACCGAAAAGAGACAGGATACTGAGACTTGTTAACCCCTCCCCGATTCTATGTTACTTCTTCCGCTTTCAGTAAAATGGTAGAAATGGCATAGGTCTCTTAGTTTGACTCTGTTCAGACACCAAGGGTAATGAATTTTGTAAGGACAATCCAACTATAGGATTCTGTGGTCCTCCATATGTTTCAAAAAGCCCAAAATATACATTCACTTGAAATTTGGCCAAATTAGGACATTACAATAAGTGCTTCTTCCACTGGTAGGAGCTCCGGCGGCATAGTGGTTACAAGTTAGGCTGGTAACCAAAAGGTCAGCAGTTTGAGACTACGAGCCACCCCATGGTAGAAAGAACTCCCATGAACAGTTACAGTCTTGGAAATCCATAGGGGCAGTTCTACCCTGTGGCTAGGAGTCGGAATATGAGTCGGAGTCAACACGATGACAGTGAGTTTGGTTTCTGGAAGGTAATTGATTATCTTAGGCTGCTCAGCTATTCAAATATTCACATATCATAGAGACATTAGTAATAATTAGTTAACACATGAGGTTTGGAAAATCACTCAAAATAGGAGGCCCATAAGGTCTATACGGTAATAAATGTAGTCTTATATTGTTGGTATTTGGCTTGTAATGATTATTGTTGTTGACGTATGTTGTCAGGTGCCATCGAAGCACTGCCCGGGCCGGTGTCATCCTTACTATGGTTTTGTAATTGGTGTTTTGAAAAAACAATGAGTCTGGGTACCCCTGACATTATCACTACTATCAAAAACTGAAGAAAACATTGATTTCCTAGACCTGTTAAAACCTACAGGTCAGTTTTTAATTGTCTTTTCTTTTTCAGTCCAGATCAGTCCCCTCTTCCTCAATCCTTGTTTGTGGGGAAAAAAAAGAAAGAAAGAAAGCCATCGAAGGTATTACAAGGGAACAAGCATTTCATAACACATCGTCTTCCTGCTGTAAGTCAAGCTAATGGCGCTAGGACTGTTCCTCTTTTCCAGAGCTGCCAACTCGTCTGAAAATCAACATGAGACTCTCACCAAGCTACTGTCCTTACAAAACCAAATACTCCAGGGGTCTCAACAAAACCATGCCAAAAAAAGAAAGCCACAAGCCAGTCACCTTTAAAAAAGCAAATGAAGTCAGACTTAAAGGATCCCCCCCGTGGGCCTCTATGGACAGCCCAGGGAACAGGTGCAGGGCTGCCTTCCTGGGGGCTGTCTCCTCCTTCCTTTCAGAAACCTGACCTTTCCACGCAGCAGCTCTGGCACCCCTCGAATCGGTTATTAGGAGGCCGACTGCCTGCTTTCGCATCTGAACTTTCCAAGTGGCTCCTCATGCCAAAGGCTAAGATATGACCTGGCTCTTTGATGAGAACATGCCTCCCAAGCGGATTGCCAAGTTTCCCTGGAAACATTCCTAAATGTCTTCTCTCGCCTCCCTCCTCCACCTCACATCCATGGCTCCTGCCCCCTTCCTTCCCTGTACTTCCTCATTCCATCGCCTGGTCTTGTCCCTCCAATGCTAAGTCGCTGCAGCCCAGACGCCTTAGCCAATTTCAGAGAGTCGCCCAGTCCCCAGCCTAAAAGCTCAACTTCTGATCCAAGGACCAGAGTTCCAGCAGAACTGGCACTGGTTTTAGGTGATCTTTTTGAGGCCTACCTGCAGGAGGCGCAGTGACAGCTTCTCCTCTTGCCTTCTCCAGCTTCTCCCTGACCCAGGGAAACTCCTGCAGAGATTCCAGGAATGTATCAAAGGCCTTAGGACCCCGAGAAGGCAGGATATCAAGCAGCAGCATGGTTTTCCGGAGGCCTGTGGTTTGAGCTTTGATTTCTTGAACATGGTTTTCAGTCAAGATCCCTTCCTGGTAAAGGTACTGAAGAACCAGCCCCTCAACCAAGACCTCGGCACCCAGCGCCAGGCGCAGTGAACGAAGCACCTGCTTGTCTCTGGCCTCCATTTCACCCTGGGAAAAGACAAAATATAACCCAGATTACAGGAGTACAGAGGAGACCCTCAGGAGAGTCTTGCCCCCTAAAAAATAGTGTTGTGGCCATTTCAGCTTCTTTAAGGTGAGGGAATTCCTGGCATGATTAGCAGAGTACCTGGCCATGGTACCAGAGTCAATGCGAAAGTTGGAAGAGCTGATGTATTTGAATGATAATGCTTACGAAGAACATTGAAAAGTACCATGGACTTCCAGAAAAACAAACAAATAAGTCCTGGAAGAAGTTGACCCAGAATGCGCCTTCAAAGGGAGAATGGTGAGACTTTATCTCAAGCACTTTGGACACGTTATCAGGAGGGTGCAGGAGAGAGGCACCCTGCTTGGTAGAGTCAGTGAGAAGGACTGACAACTGTGGCCTCCACAGTAGGCTCAAACATAGGGATGGTTGGGGGGGTGGCACTGGACAGGGCAGTGTTTCGTTCTGTTGTGCATAAGGTGACTACAATTCAGAGCTGAGCCAGTGGCACCTGACAGCAACAGTTCAAAGCAAGCTGTTTTCACATAGACATGAATATCATGAACCAACATGAAGATGCATTCTCTCTTCTCAGATTTCACGGTTCACAGCGCGGTGGGTCATTGTGTGAAAGGCAAGTCCAGTAAAGAGATGGGAGGGTGTGAGAAGTGGTTTAGAGACCCGGCATGAAAAGTAATTTTCACCGAAAATTAGAGAGCAGCATTTTAACACAGACACTCTGCTCCTTCACACCTCAGAAGGGACCACTATAGAAACAGGTGCCATTTTGAATAGGGGCACTGGCAGAACCTGGTCAACAAGGGGAAGGGGCAATGGGGAAGGCAGAATCCAGCAGATTCTAACAAGTTTGAGGGTCTTTTTCATTAAGAGAAATGGTCTTTACAGAATCACCTTCAAGACAAAATCGTATTGCTTGTGCCCTGGTTGCATAGTGGTTACATGTTAGGCTGCTATCTGAAAGGTCAGCAGTCCAGAAGCACTTTCTCTGTGGGAGACAGAGGGGGCTTCCTACTCTGGTAAAGAGAAACTCACAGGGGTACTTCCACCCTGTCTGTTAGGGTGTTGTGAGTCTGAATGGATTCTGAGGCAGTGAGTGAGTCCACAATAAGCATTATATACAGTCTCATTCATTCCCTCAAAGAATTCAGAATCTAACACCACTCTTGTAGCCACCTCACAAGCATGGGACATTTAATGCAATTTTCTTTTTCTTTCTTTTTTTTAAATCATTTTATTAGGGGCTCATGCAACTCTTATCACAGTCCATACATACATACATACATTGTGTCAAGCACATTTGTACACGTTGCCATCATCATTCTCAAAACACCTGCTTTCTACTTGAATCCTTGGTATCAGCTCCTCATTTTTCCTCTCCCTCCATGCTCCCCCCTCCCCCTTGAGAATTTATAAATTATTATTTTGTCCTTTCTTTCTTTCTTTCTTTTATTTATCTAATCCCTTAAAGGGGTGGGGAGGGGTAAGCTCTACATTCTGGTTTGGGTCAGCAACCCCACACCATTTGAAATCACATGTTCTGGACGACTGCAGCTGTGTGGAGACCGTGTAAATTGCTGACACTCGGAGGTTAAGTGCGGGGAAGGGCGGGCGCAGAGCCGCGGAAGGAACTTCAGGAACCAGAGACTCCAGGCGGCAGGGCTCGAGCCCTCCTCGCCCGCGGCGGGGCTGCAGCCCTCTCAGAAGGCTGTGCACATTGGCGGCGAGAGACGTTTGGGGACGGTTTTCATGCTGTGTCTCGCTGGCTGCAACCTTGCTGTATGACGAAGGGGAACAACGACGAGCGATTTTCCGGGCAACTTGGTCCGCCGGAAAACGCTGGGCATGGTCTTTAGAAATGACGCCGGGGCGAGGGGGTCCCGGTCCCACGGCCGACACGCTCGCCCGCGCGTCTGGGAAACGCACCCCACGAGCAGGTTGGAGGCGCGAGCGCGCGCGCGGGCCTGGGACGCAGACGCGGCAGCGCGGGGCGCGCCACGAAGCACGGAGACGGCCCTGCGGGCGGCTGCTACTTACGTCTGCAAGCGCGTATCTCGGCGGGGAAACCGCGACCGGAACCCGGACTGTTAAGGAAGCCGCTCGGCGGGGGCCATCTTTGCTGAAGGCGACGCCCCGCGCAGGACGTGCCGCCGCCATCACTGCTGAGGGCAAACCGAGGGCGCACGGTGGACATCTTTATTGGGGGCGCAAGCGTCGGGCTGAAGCCTTTTCCGCCGTGTTTGCTGCGGGCAAACCGAACACCTGCCTGGGGGCGGACAATACCATCAGCTGGTGGGTTATCGAAGTAAGGAACAGTTGGGTAAAATACAACAGGACCAGCCTATGATTGACATGAGACAGGCGGGTCTCTACTCACAATCACAGCAGGGAGTCCTTCACGGGCCATTCTATTTAAAATAGCAACAAAGGACAGACACTCAGCCCCTGCATTCAAATCCCCCTTTCCAAATTTATGTTCATCTTAACGCGTATTACCGGACCCTCCTATGGAGAAAGATGGGGCTCTCTGCTCCCAGAAAGATTTGCAGCCTCCGAAGCCCAAAGGGGCAATTCCAATCGACCCTATAGGGTCGCTAAGGATCAGGATTCGTTCTGAGGCATTGGGTTGGAGCTCCTGCCCTTGCGACCACCTCGCTCAAAGTTATATTTATATTTTTTTCTTTATTTATATTCTATCCCTTTGAGGATATCCGTAAATCGTTTACAAGTGAATCAGAATTCAGATGCAGTAATTAGCTAGCTTCTCAAAGCAGAAAGGGGTTTGTCATGGGTAACCACGGACATTTAAAATCACCAGGAAGGCCAGCGAAGGAATGGGGTTCCAGGAAAGCCTCCCTAAAACAGCATAGCCCTGATGGCTCGTGACAGCAAGTAGATGGAATCCACTCCAGAGCCCCAACCTCCTCCCAACTCCAAGCAAAGAACTGAGACACTGGGACTTACCCAAGTCCCCACAGCAACGACATCAAAACAGCACTTGCTAGTCTTATTCTGATACATCGAATTAGAAAAATCTATTTATCTTGTGGGTAGAACTTTAATAGCAAGGGTGTCCTGGGCTTGTAGTTTAGTACTTTCCAACTTCGGGAGCAGAGAAATTCATGGTGGGGGCGCAGCTCAATCTACTTCACTGTGTTTTTAATTTAAAAGGCAAAATTTTTAAAAACAGCATGATACCATAAAAGATACAAGAATACCCTTTCACAAATTCCTTTATGCCAAAAGTTGAGTGTCCTTTCTCAAATTCCTTTAAGCACTCAGCCATCTAAAAAGGCATTCATTTTTAAATGAATGATATGGACAGAAAGCCATATTATGCCTGCCAAAAAATAGTTGACAGGAACAGGAACAAAATGTCATTATTTCTATGGAGGTTTTCAAAACTAATGCCTCTCTGGTGGGAGATGAAAATATCTTTGTAAAAAAAAAAATCAATGAAGAGTAATTTTAGACCTGTCCCCTGGAAAACTAACACATGCTATGAGTTTAGAATGTTACTGTATCAACATACTATTTTTACTGTGACATTAGAGATGGCATATTTGTCCTTATAGAATTATTACTGTTGGTGTTTTACATATGTAGAAACTGGACTCTGGGTAGCCAAGTGTCCTAGTCAAAACCGCACAATTAAAATATAGCAAAACCTGACTTTTAACCAGGTAACTCTGATTTTTCTCTTGCTTCATATGCATGTGGAAGTTGGACATTGAATAAGGAAGACCAAAGAAGAAGTGATGTGCTTGAATTGTGGTGCTGGAGAAGAATATTGAAAGTCTGAGGGACTGCCAAAAAGACAAACAAATCTGTCTTAGAGGAAGTACAACTAGAGTTTTCTTTAGAGGCAAGAATGGAGAGACTTTGACATATATACATTGGACATGTTGTCAAGAGAGACCAGTCCTTGGTGAACCCCATCAAGCTTGGTAAAGTAGAAAAGCCATGAAAGAAAGTAGAGGGACCTTCAACGAGATGCACTGGCACAGTGGTGACAAGGATGGGCTCAAGCATAGGAATAATTGTGACGATGAAGCAGGACTGTGCAGTGTTTCATTGTTGTGCATACAATCTCGATGGATCAGAACCTACTTGATGGCACCTGGCAACAGCACCCCTGATTTCATACTTTTCCCAGTTTACTACATGGCCATGAATAGTGAAGAGTCTGTTTTAACGACAGCCAAAATATTGTAGATCCATCATCCTGGTGCTACCGCCCATTCTTATCTTCTGAGGACTCTCTTCTCACTCTTGTTTTGCTCCAGAAATTTCCTCTCCTCAGCGTTGTTCCCTCAGCAATATGTGGACATGTGCTCATAATATTCTCTGTCTTTATCCAGACCAACTTCAGGCTTCTTGCAGCATGGCTGTACCTGAGATCACTTAACTTTTCTAGGAAGTAAAAAACAAGTATACTTCATCCAACTGTAAACTTTGAAAATTCCCATACACACAGAAAAGTTACAGGAAAGAGGAGTACACTGAATACCCATCAATGGTGGTATCCAAGAAGAGATGGGCAGCCAATGGTAAGATCCATAAGCCTTCACAGAAAAGAAGCAAAGAGGGCAAGAGAAAGTATAAGAAGATTGAGTACAGGAGCTGAGGGCATGGACAGACAATACCAGAGCGGCCCATCCACAATCTGAATTAAATCCATAAATTCCTCTCTCAGTAACAAATGTAGACAAGTGTCTATGCTACTTCTAAGTGACAAGGCTGATTCTCTGATTGATTAGCCAACTCTCACCAACCAGCCAGTTGAAGGACTGAACCCCACCTCGACCCCAGCCCAGCATACAACAATGCTTACTTCTGAGTAGCATTCAGCATGTTTAGCTTCACTTCAATAAATACCTTAAACCAAAGCTTCTATAAGGACTCGCATACTGATCAGTAACACAGGTGGCTACTCCTCTACTCTATCCACTTTCTCTCTGTAGGCTGCATTGTGCCCCCACAGAGGATTCAGCATCTGTTACGATCGGATAACAAATCCATTTTCAGGAAGGACAGACGGTTTTCTTTTCTCTCTCCTCTACCATTTCCATTGTGCCCACTGTGAGCCTTAAAAATAAGAATTCAAAAAGAACCAATGTAGTATTTCTTTGCCTTTGAATTTGGTCTTTGGTTTTATAACCATATATTGAGAGAGACAGATATTTTTGGTCCTTTCTGTTTCCTAGATATAAAAATTAAGCCCCGGAGAAAAGCAGATTCTTTTCTAGCATACATGGAACATTTATAAAATTCAATTGGTTGATTTGGCTTGAGGGTTTGGGACTATAATCCCATGGGGCAATTTCGCCAATTGGCACAATATAGTTCAGGAAGGTAGTGTTGTATATCCTACTTTGGCGAGTAGCTTCTAGGATCTGAAAAGCTTTCAAGAGATCATCTGAGCTACAACTACTGGTCTCTACTTATTCAGAGCAAAGAAAAAAAGAAACCAAAGACTCAAAGCAGACACTAATCTCTCAACAGTGTTAACAATCTACACAAATAGCAGCCTCGTTGGCCTAGAAACCAGAAAAACTAGATGGCAGTGCCTAGCTACTGCAAATGACTGTTCTGACCAGGGACACAATAGATGCTCCCAGATAGAATGGGAGAAAAAGATAAGACAAAACTCAACTCCTGAGAAAAGGCCAGGTGTTCCGGGCAGGTAGAGACTAGAGAAATTCCAAGACTATCGCTCTATTGTTCCCTTTAAACTTGGAACTAGAACACTTCTGGGGCTCATCTTTCAGCCAAATGACAGATTAGCCCATGAAATAAATAATATCACCCTTGAGTACTGTACTTCTCTAGCCATCTACATAAAACCAAATGGTAAAACATTTGCCTGCGACCCCAGATGACAAGGTAAGAGGGAATAGAGAAGCTAAATTAATGGAAACAGAACAACCAGCATGGGAATAATGAACATGCTGACACATTGTGAAAAGTGTAATCCATGTTACTCTCACTGCCATTACTTCAATGCCGACTCAACAGCAACCCTATAGGACAGGGGAGAACTGCCCCTATGACTTCCTAAGACTGCAACTCTTTATGGGTATAGAAAGCTGGGCTTTCTTCCTAGGAGCTGTGGTGGTTTAGAACTGTGGATCCTGTGGTTAGCAGCCCAGTGCATAACCACTATGCCACCTGGGCTCCTCACTGAACGATACATATCCAAAAACCAAAACATAACTGTGTTAGTCTGGGTTGACTAGAGAAACAAATTCATTGACACTCATGTGTTTAAGAAAGAGCTTTTTATAAAAGAGCAATTGTATATTCATAAAATATCCCAGCTCAGTCCAGATCAAGTCCATAAGTCCAATATTAGCCTGTATGTCTGATACTAGTCCATAAATTCCTCTTTAGACTCACGTAGCACATGAAATGATGCCTAATGCAGGAAGATCAGAAAGTATCTCAACACTGGCATGGGTTCTCCACATGTCTCCTCCAGTTTTTTGAGTGTCTCCACAGCAGGAAAGGGAAGGAAGAGAAAGAGTGTTCCCTGCCTCCAGGGAGGAAGACCAGAGTTCCCAGAATCCTCAAGAGGCCATGCCCACAAAGAGGCATTATTGGCTATGACCTGATTGACAGGCTAGACTCCACCCCTTCACTCAAGTTGACAGGAGATTATGTAACTGCCACAATAACTCACAGCATATGAGTTGATTTCAACTGATAGTGACTCTATAAGGAAGTATAGAATGTTTCTTTGGGTTTCCAAGACTATAAATCTTTATGGGAACAGACAACCTCAGCTTTCTCCCACAGAGTGCCTGGTGACTTTGAAATGCCAACCTTGCAGCTAGCAGCCCACAACTTCACCTACTTCCCTACCAGGGCTTCTTGAATAATAGGTATAGAAATTGTTAAATGAAAATTGAATTGTCTGTGTAAGTTTGCACCAAAGCCACAATAAAAAGTTAAGAAAAAAAGGATTTAAAAATTAATTAAAAATCCAAAGTTTGTAGTGTTCTGGCATAAAAGATAAAAAAGAAAATCTCTTATATTTTATAGTTTTAATCTCTAGCAAAATAAAGCATACTGAATCATCTAAAGAGACTAACAGGCACTGGTTTCAAGCAGGAATTTCTTATATGATTATATAAGAAAC